GGATAGAGTAAGGAAGGGCTATAACCTCTTTCAATTTTTCTTCTGCCATCTGTGTCATATTGGAGAGATTTCCCTTCGCTGTCCCATAGCCACAACAGGAAGTAAGAGGAAATACCTTCAAAGTGAGGGAAATTCCTGGCAGTCACCAGGGTCTCCAGAACTAATGTCCCAATAGGAAGATTTCCCTCTTGTTCCTGTTCTGGTGACCACTCAAAGCTGGGAATTTTCTTATGCTTTTACTTTCAGTGATAATCACCAGGACAAACAGAGAAGGTGAATCTCCATAATAGAGATATAAACAACAATAAAAACCTGACAGGTGTTCTAATCTTTCTCCACTCTTATCAAAAATAAAAAAAAGCTTTAACTTCACTTTGGGCCATTTGCATTATTGCATAGGAGGAAAGCAATCTCCACATGATTCTGCGTGTCGCATAGGGCAGCCCATTTGTCAGCCGAAAAGGTGCTCCTTTTCAGGCAACAAGGGGCATGTGATTTTTAAAGGCGCAGTTTCCCACAATTGCCACACAATCTTGTCACATGTCAATCACTACAGAATCGTATCACATTTGGGATGAGATTGAATGATAATGGCACCCAAACACACATTGTGTGTTGTACTGCGATTGCCATGCGATCTGGAATCGTGGGCAGAATCATACCAATACTGCCCGTGATTCCAAATCGCGATGTGTAAATGCAGCCTGTTTATAGTTGCATTTAACCTGTAAATACAGTTTTGAATTTTAACTTTGTGTTTAGTTTTGTTATTTTTTAAATTAAAGTTGGTATTATATACTATGTTCACTATTGCTGTGTACAAAATCTGTATATAAAAAATGAATATTCCCATACAGTATGCAGTTTTTTTAAAGCAACTTAAGCTGAATGTACAAAAACATAAACTTGCCAAAATTTTACAATGCAGGTTTTATCTATGATAACCATAAATATGGTGCATGTTTTGCATACCCAGCATTGCCGTTCATGAATTATTGTATTTCCATTACGGAAAAAAAATTGGGTAAATGGTAAACTTGGTAAATTTGTTGTGCAACATTCCATGCAAAACAGGCCTTACAAAAAAAAGACTTATCCACGACTATTATGTAGATTCTATGAGCGCCAGTTTTTTTTTTTCTTCAAATAATTAACCAACTTTGTTGCTTAGATTTTGACATTTTTCCTCATTCTGAAAATATTTTGCTGGCTATTTTATACCATATTTTACACTATAGAGCTGTTGTGTGGGTTTTAAAGCTTTCTGTAACCATGCCTTTGAAGTAGCCAGTATGAAAAAAAAAGTGTTTGTGGTCATATAGGTGGGCAGCACAGTGGCTAAGTGGTTAGCAATTCCGCCTGGCAGTACTAGGGTTGTTGGTTCGAATCCCAACCACAGCACCACCTGCCTGGAGTTTGCATGTTCTCCCTGTGCCTGCATGGGTTTCCTCCGGGTACTCTGGTTTCCTCTCACATTCCAAAGACATGCTGGTAGGTTAATTGGCTCTTGTCTATATTAGCCCTAGTATGTTTATGTATGAATGTGAGTTAGGGACCTTAGATTGTACGCCCCTTGAGGGTTAGGGACTGATGTGAAAGTACAATATATATGTAAAGCGCTGCGGAAATTGATGGCGCTATATAAGTACCTGAAATAAATAAATATAGGTCACCTAACATAAATGAATGTGAGAACAGGTCTTATTACCAATCCTATTGACATATGTTAACCTGAAAGCATAGGGGCACGTATGTTTACTGCACAGTGAATTACAATTGAAAAAAAAAGTGTTCACTTTCACTATCCAATCTGTAAATGTAAGAAACAGGATTTGTGCTAGAATGCAATAGTTTGAAGTAAAAACAGCTACATTGAATGTATAACATTCAATAAACAGCTTCTGTTTCTTTAGTAAGTAAATTCCATTGGCTTCATCATGCTTTATTTTAATTAAAGGAATCTGCAGTGTGTCTTATCTGCATTGAATAAAATGCACCACAATGCATCTGTTGTTATTTCCTGTAGGTATCTTCAGACATGCGAATACATTTACTATACCGAGCTGTTTTTGGCCAGATTGAATAATGATCTGATATCTATGGGATATCCCTGACTGGGATAGCTGGCTTCTGTCTATGGTTACAGTTTCTTGTGCAGGTAAGATTACCTAAATCAGTCCAATCCATCTGGCACTATACCCTTATAGCTCAAAAACTGGGGGCTTGGCCAGCGGTGACACCATATTATATCATATTCAAAAAATATCCAGCAGAGATCAACCTAAAAAAACTCCAGATTTATTAAGGTTTCTTTAAACATTGCATAATTATAAAGTTTGAGGAAAAGTGCAAAAAAAAAAAAAAAAACCCCAACTGACATGTCCACTGACATTTTGGGACTTGCCAAACATCTTTATTAAGGTGATAGACTTTTCCTTTTATGCACTTTATAATGTAACTTCAATAAATTTTAAGTTTTCTGGAGTCTTTGCTGGTGTGCTGGCTATTTTTTTTTTTGAAAGACATAGGAAGATCTATCTTGTCTGTTAGATGTGTTTAGTTAATTACCATGAGGGTGACTGGGGATTCACGAAATAAATTGTTTTTCACTTAGCTTAATTGAACCATATTCAAATCTAATAATACAGAGTAAATAAAAAAAAATATATATATATATATATTACATTAAAAACGTATATATAACTTTTAACTTTTGTATATCACTAAATTATACCTCTTTAGTAAACAACTCCCCATTTGAAAAACAAAACACTGAGGTAGTAATCTGAACGTGTATTTTAAGTATTATATATTTAAACAGAAGTAACACACTTTTCTTTTCTTACAAAATGACATTTATTTAGTTTGAAAATACTTTGGTTGGTGAGAACTGTATACATTTAAATAAATGTTTTTACTTAATACAGAATTACAATATAGCATATAAAACACATTACAATGTAACATTGCAACAGGGTACCAAAATGATCATCTGAGCACTGTGAAGAAATATCCAGTTCATCAATAATAATAATAAAAAACACATAAATCAAACTCTGTTTCAACAATACAGCAATTCTGAAACCTGTGGATTACAGTTTTGCATAGACTGCACCAAACTACAAGACAATACTTTTTGTTCTGACAATGATTTTTAAGGTTTATTACTCTTGTATATGGGAAAGGGTCAATCAGGGTTTTTATAGTATACTGGCCATGCACGAAAGGGTAAAATTGCTCAATAGACAGAAATCAACTGTACTAAACGACCATTTCAATTAACATTTCTTTTTTCTTAAAGGACAAAGTCATATCTCCAACTGAGTTCAACCTAATAAAGTTTCAGAGCAAACGATCACTTGAAATGATGAAACCTATGAAAGATTATTAACTGTCACATTTATGGCCAATATAATGAAACAAGTAAGCAGGTTTAATTTAACAGGAACAGAGTCATGGAAGACTAGTCATATAATAATTTTACTGAAAGTCATCCTGCTTTTGAATTTACACATATACATTTGGATTTTGTATTCACATGTATACATCCCCTAGAGAATTATTGAACTCTGATAAGTCTAATGGGTAATAACATAACTTTGCCATTCAGATCAGCACAAATCTAACCCATAAAAAAAGCTTTGCAACAAATCTACAATTAAAGCGTTCTACTTTAGCAGGAATAGAAATTTTACATCAATGAAGTGCCCTCATTTGCCTGTTCTTGTTGGTAAATGTAAACTACTGTGAAATAATATGTTCATTTCTTACACAATACTTCTCAGTCCAGTCATATGACAAGCAAAGACCTGCGGATTTCTCTCCAGCTTACTGAAAGGCACTTGGATTGTTCCAAATTGATATCCAATCTACTTAATTGCCTTGTCCTCTATGGCAGAGATGATAAGCAGACAATAGGCACCATTGTGAGTCCATAGGCAGATTATTGGTGCTGTGCAATACATTGAGGAACATACAGATCTTCGGAGTGGAAGGGTTTTGTTCTGGAAATATACAATTGTCTTGACTATACACAAGACGTCATAAAAAGTCCAGGTGTCAGGAAAAATGTGTAGTATACATAATGAGGACCCTGTGGGCATCCACTGGAGTAGATGGCTCTAGAGTGAGACATCCAAGAAGTGAAGAGTCTCTGCCAATATGAATACATGGAGGAACATATAGATCTTCAGGGTGGAAAGGTTGTGTTCTGGAAACAGAGAATTGTCGGGACTATACACCAGACGTCATGAAAAGTTCAGTTGTCAGGAAAATGTGTAGTATACATAATGAGGACCCTGTGGGCATCCACTGGAGTAGATGGCTCTAGAGTGAGACATCCAAGAAGTGAAGAGTCTCTGCCAATATGAATACATGGAGGAACATACAGATCTTCAGGGGGGAAAGGTTGTGTTCTGGAAACAGAGAATTGTCGGGACTATACAGAAGACGTCATGAAAAGTCCAGTTGTCAGGAAAATATGCAGTATGGACATCCATTGGGACAGATGTTTCTGCAGTGAGCCATCCAAGAAATGAAGTGTATCTGCCAATTTGTATATATGGAAGAACTGAGATCTTCAGGGTGGAAGGGTTGTGTTCTGGAAACATACAATTGTTCGGTATATACACAGGATGTAATGAAAAGTCCAGTTGTCAGGAAAATGTGCAGTTTACGTGATGACCCTGTGGGCATCCATTGGGACAGATGTCTCTGCAGTGAGCCATCCAAGAAGTGAAGGGTCTCTGCCACTATGTATACATAGAAGAACTTACAGATCTTTAGGGTGGAAGGGTCGTGTTCTGGAAACATACAATTGTTCGGTATATACACAGGATGTCATGAAAAGTCCAGTTGTCAGGCAAAAATGTGCAGTATACGTGAGGACCCTGTGGGCATCCATTGGGACAGATGTTTCTGGAGTGAGCCATCCAAAAATTGAAGGGTCTCTGCCAACAAGTACTCAGGAAGGGTACTGAGCCCTGGTGACCTGGCTGTCCTTATACATAGTTCTTTTTGTCATACTCCCCGTTTGAGGTGGGTCTCCTAGAGGCAGAGTATCTGACAGGTGGGGTGAACTGGCCTTTCATTGGGCAGGAGAGGCAGAGGAGCACGCCCCCGAAGAGCAGGAGGGCGGTAGCCGCCCAGCCCACATACAGGGCAGCCCCCATCTCCCTCTTCTTGGAGGATGGGATGTGGGGGTCGTAGAACTCCCGGATGACGATGTTGGCGGTCCAGCACAGGGGGATGAGGACCAGGAGGCCGGCCACGATGTAGAGGATTCCTCCAGCGAACAATATTCGGCTCTTCACCTTGCTGCCCTGGTAGCAGACCGTGCACTGAGCTCCCACCACGGTCACCATAAGTCCGATCAAGCCCACGATAGATGCCATGACTGTGAGTGCCCGTCCAGCCTGGAGCTCCTTGGGCAGGGCTAGGATGGAGTCATAGACTTTGCATTGCATCTGACCCGTACTCTGCACCGCACATGACATCCACAACCCTTCCCAGATGAACTGAGCCACCACGATGTTCTGCTCTATGAAGGCGGACACCTGCCACATGGGGAGGGCACAGGTCAGGATCACCCCGACCCAGCCGATGATGCTGATGGACATCCCGAATATCTCCAGAGCGATGGAGCCCATGATGATGACAGATGATGGTGATCAGAGCTGGGATCGGTCCTCCTGCGCTCTCTCCGTACAGCGGACAGCGATGTGACTTCAATCTCCCGCATCTCCTAATAAGTACTTCTCCAAGTCCTGCTCCTCCTTCCCCGGGGGAACGCAGGCGGCCAATCACCAGCTCCGGCATCCCGCCTCCGCCAATGAGAAGCCGGGGATGACTGATGAGTGACTACTAGTGGAAGGCGCTGGAGGGGAGCCAGGAGTGGGGAGCACCTGCAGCAGGAAGGAGGACGGACCGGCTAACTTAAAGGAAAACAAAATCCAGGAGAAGAAAGGAAAATACTGGCAGAGCTGGACATGTGTCAGCACACCGCGACTTCTCTCTTCCCTTCTGGAGTCTCAGAGGAAGGGGGCTGACAGCACAATAGGAGACTTCACAGCACCCAATACATAACATCTTCTAGATTATTGGGATATATTCATTCATTCTTTATAAACCATTGTATTGAAAGCAGAACTCACACACATTGTTTGTGTGACCCCACTGCATGGATCAACTGCTAGTTTTTGCTATTCGTGAGGATCAGCTCACACTCACCTGATCCACAGATCCTATGGAAAACCATGCTCCCCCACAGTCCAGCAGTGGACTGTTCCTGTCTGTGGAACGTGCATAGAACATGCTGACATCAGGAACAGTCCATTTACAATACACACTAAACAACATGTGCAGCTTGCCCTAAGGCTCTGTTCTATTGGGAGATGGATTGGGGACAGTATAAGAAGGGGAGGATCAAACCGCTTTTTTACACAAAGCAGAGTAGTGCTGGACCTTGCGGGGGCAAGAGCTGAAAGGACCGGTCTTCTATGGTGGGTCGGATGAGTATATCTTCAGTGTCCTCTCCCCTAGAACAAAACGAGCATTTAACTAGTCCAGTGCCAGCACAGCCCTACTGCACGGGCCAAAAGGCATTTTCCCATATTTCTGCTTTAAAGTGTTACAAATCCCACATCAGTAAAATCAGTCTGTATATGCAGTAAAGCATGCTTGTTATACTCACTGTGGAACCTAAGGGTTAATCCTCTGCATTGTGTAAATAGGTGGTTTGATCCTCCCCTTCTTATAATGTCCCCAATCCATCTCCCGATAGAACAGAGCCTTGGGGGCAAGCTGCACATGTTCAGTTTTGTGTGTATTGCTAGAGAATTTTTGGGCATGTGCATGTGATCAGCACAGGGCCAATCAGCTCTATCCAGACAGAGGGTCAGGGGTTGTACAGCCTCATAGGACAATCAGGGGAGAATGAAAACTCTTCCTACAAGCTTTAACCAGTGCACAGCTAGACATTGATAGGAATCACAAGACCGCTCTAACTTCTGGTAAAAAGGTATTTAGCAGTTTATATCTACAAAAATAATTGCATTTCCATGTTCTGTGTACTGGTGGAGTCCTTGATTTAGTAACACTTTAAGGTGGCTGATTGTAAAAAGAAAGTGGTAGTGCTTATAAACTAGTGATGGGCCAAACACCCCCGTATTCGGTTCGTGGTCAAACATAACGAATGTTTGACCGCAAACTTCGAACTCAATGCAAGTTTATAGGACTCGAACTTGTAAGTTCAAAAGTGCCAATTTTGAAGGCTTATATGCAAGTTATTGGCCATAATAGGGTATGGGGACTAGGGTACTGCTCTGGGGAACATGAATCGGTGAAAAAATGTTTTCAAAAAGTGCTGTTTTTAAAGGGGCAGTCATTTTTCACTGCCTAAAGTAAAAAAAAGAAAAAACCCTTTAAATGTCATGCCGGGGGGGTCCCCTTAAACTACCTGCAAAGTTGCACATCTGTACAATGTATAGGACCTGCTGCAGCAAGACAGACATTTTTTTTTTTAATTAAATTTTTTATTAAAAAAAAAAAAAGAAAAACAGTGTGGGGTCCCCCTCAACCTAACAAAGGTTAGGAGGAACCCCACAATAAAAAAATCAAAAATAAAAGTGCATGGGTTTCCCCTGAAAGCCATACCAGGCCCTATACGCCTAGTAGGACTTTTAAGGGGATCCCTACCCCCAAAAAATTCCTACCAGACCCTTGATCTGAGCACAGGCTTGGCATGGCAGGAAACGGGGATGAACAAGCGCCACCCCCCCCACACACGCGCAGCTTACCAGGCCACATGTCCTCGGCATGGAGACGGTGTCCCCATGCCGGCCTCTTCCCCACAACCCTGGCCCGGTGATTGTGGGAGTCTGCGGGCAGGGGAGCTCATTAGAATCAAGGTACCCCTTTAAATAAGATGCTGCCCCCCCTTGTGAGTAAGGCAGCATCTACCCATTCACTAAAGGGTTTAATTGAGAAAAAATAAACATGCCAGACTTTTGAAAAAATACCGTATTTTTCGCTCCATAAGACGCATCTGACCATAAGACGCACCTAGGTTTTAGAGGTGAAAAACAAGAGAAAAAAAATATTCTGAACCAATGGACTGCAGACACAGTACAGGAGATGACCAGAGACTGCGGACACAGTACAGGGGATGACCAGAGACTGCGGACACAGTACAGGGATGACCAGAGACTGCGGACACAGTACAGGAGATGACCAGAGACTGCGGACACAGTACAGGGGATGACCAGAGACTGCGGACATAGTACAAGGGGATGACCAAGAGACTGCGGACACAGTACAGGAGATGACCAGATACTGCGGACATAGTACAAGGGATGACCAGAGACTGCAGACAGTACAGGAGATGACCAGAGACTGCGGAAAAAGTGCAGGGGATGACCAGAGACTGCGGACAGTGCAGGGGATGACCAGAGACTGCGGACAGTGCAGGGGATGACCAGAGACTGCGGACAGTGCAGAGAATGACCAGAGACTGCGGACAGTGCAGGGAATGACCAGAGACTGCAGACAGTGCAGGGAATGACCAGAGACTGCAGACAGTGCAGGGAATGACCAGAGACTGCAGACAGTGCAGGGAATGACCAGAGACTGCAGACAGTGCAGGGAATGACCAGAGACTGCTGACCTTTGGGGAGGGAGGGGGAGCGGGTACCTGAATTTGACAGGTACCCGCTCCCACTTCCGCGGAGTTGCCTTCCCTCTTCTTCCCGGGCCGGCTTCTGTGACAGCCGGGTGCCCACTGCGCATGTGCGAGAAGCGCTGCGCTTTGTGAATGGCCCGGCGCCTTTCATGTGTCCCAGAAGACACCGGATCATTCACAAAGCGCAGCACATGCGCAGTGGGCACAGAAGCCAGCCAGCGCGGGAAGACTGTGCAGCGCTGGAGCGAGGAACAGGTAAGGCCCTGCAGGAGAGAACAGCTGAGCGGCCGGCCCGGTATTCTGACATGGTGGCCACAAAAATACCGGACCGGCCGCTTTATATTCGCTCCATAAGACACACTGACATTTTCCCCCCTTTTTTGGGGGGAAAAAAGTGCGTCTTATGGAGCGAAAAATACGGTACTTTATGCAAACGAAAAAAAACCCAACAGTTTTTGACAAGTCCTTTATAAAAAAAAAAAGCCAAAAAATGGTTCCATCATTGTAATCCATCGTCACTCACGGTATCCAGTGTTGTCACAACGATGCTGACTCTCCAAAAAAACAAACAAGCCCCAACACTTGCTGCAATCTGACATGTAAACAATTGGCTGGAGCTAACGGTGATGTCACCATTAGCTCCGCCCAATTGCTTACCTCTGACCAGCAACTGTCAGATCTGTCATAAACAAATGGGCGGAGTTAGCGATGACATCACGCTGGTATTTTTTTCTTTTATTTTTCTTTGGGTTTTTTAAAATATTTTTTTTTTATGATTTTTTTTTTTTTGGAGAGAGTATTCTCCCGTCTTATATAGTGTGAAGTGGGGACTGTACATTGTGAGAACGCAGTGCATTGTGGGGTGTTTGGAAGGTGAACAGTTGGTGGTGCCTTCGCACCGTAACCCTTCAGAGTTATTCTTGATGAGTGCAGGATTGGACCCTGCTGTAAAAATTCAAATTATATGCACCTGTCACACAGTGTGTTGAAAACATGGGCCTTGGGTGTTGGTGCCTCTGCACTGTAACCCCTTACAGCTACTCTTGATGAGCGCAGGAATTGGCACTGCTGTAAAAAACTGAAATTATATGCACCTGTCACACAGGTGCAGGAAAATTGGGCCTTGGGTGTTTGTGGTGCCTGAACACTGTAACCCCTCACAGGTACTCTGCTGGGCTTAGGAATGGGCCCTGCTGTTAAAAATTGTTAAAAATAAGAAAACATTTTAAAAATTGCAATTACATGCACCTGTCAAACAGGTGCAAAAAAATTGGGTATTGGGTGTTGGTGGTGCCTGAACACTGTAACCCCTCACAATTACTCTTGGTGAGCTCAGGAATGGGCCCTGTTGTTAAAAATTTGAAAAAATGTGTAAAAAATTGAAATTACATGCAACTGTCAAATATGTGCAGAACAATTGAGCATTGGGTGTTGGTAGTGCCTGAACACTGTAACTCCTCACAGTTACTCTGCTGGGCTTAGGAATGGGCCCTGCTGTTAAAAATTGTTAAAAATAAGAAAAATGTTTTAAATAATTACAATTACATGCACCTGTCAAACAGGTGCAGAAAAATTGGGCCTTGGGTGTTTGTGGTGCCTGAGCACTGTAACCCCTCACAGTTACTCTTGGTGAGCTCAGGAATGGGCCTTGCTGTTAAAAATTAGAAAACAATTGTAAAAAATTTAAATTAGATGCACCCGTCAAACAGGTGCAAAAAAAATGGGTCTTGGGTGTTTGTGGTGCCTGAACACTGTAACCCCTCACAGTTACTCTTGGTGAGCGCAGGAATGGGCCCTGCTGTTAAAAATTTTTAAAAAATTGAAAAAATGTGTAAAAAATTGAAATTACATGCAACTGTCAAACAGGTGCAGAAAAATTGAGAATTGGGTGTTGGTGGTGTCTGAACACTGTCACCCCTCAGAGTTACTCTTGCTGGGTGCAGGAATGGGTCCTGCTGTTAAAAATTGTAAAACAATTAGAAAACAATTGGAAAAAATTGGAATTACATGCACCTGTCAAACAGATGCAGAAAAATTGAACCTTGGGTGTTGGTGCATAAACACTGTAACCCCTCACAGTTACTCTTGCTGGGCGCAGGAATGGGCCCGGCTGTTAAAAATTGTTAAATATTTGAAACAAATTTTAAACAATTGAAATTACATGCACCTGTCAAACAGGTGCAGAAAAATTGAGCCTTGGGTGTTGATCGTGCCCTAAACCAAAAACATTGTTGGAAGCTAGCATAATCAGGATTCAGGAATAGGATAGGCAGCATAAGCAGTCTTCAAGGGATCCCAGATCCCTAATGAATTTAATCAGTCATCAGGGGCTTGATAGCTGCTGTTGATCCAGGACTGATTCATTTTGATAAATGTCAGGCAGTCAATGGAGTCTGTGGACAGATGCACTCTTTTATCCATCACAAAACCTCCAGCAGCACTGAATGTCCGTTCAGAAAGCTAGCTGGTTGCAGGACAGGACAGTATCTTGATTGCATATTGAGCAAGTTCTGGCAAGTGATCCATCCTCAAGATCCAGTAACCCAGTGGATCCTCAGTTGGAAAGGTCTCCAAGTCTGCTCTTGTTCCTAGATAATTCTGCACCATATGATGCAGACGCGGTTGATGGATGCTTAAACCTAACAGCCATGGGCGCTGAAGACTAAAGAATTGTTTAAAGGCATCGTTCAACTGGCCTCCTTCTCCACTGCTCTTCCTTTGACTGAATGAAGCCTCAGAAACACGTCCAGGAAATAGTAACCTCCCAGTGTCTGGATAGATGTTGCACAAATTTTTCTTCAAGGTGTCCTCAAGGATGAGCTCTGCAACTTTATCCTTGTAACGTGGATCAAGAAGGGTTGCCAACCAGTAATGATCCCTCTCCTTGATACCATGAATCCTCTGGTCTTTTTGCAGGTTTTGCAGAATCAGGTAGCCCATGCAGCTTATTTTGAGGAGGCATGAGATTCTGAGTCCTCTGGGTCACTAAGAATGACACTGTCAGGAACTACCTCCTCCCAGCCATGTTCTACTCCTGTCTGGGTTTATGGGGACTGAACAGCATCCCTTGAAGACTGCTGTATGTTATCCTCTACTTTCATGCTGCTACAATCCTCCTGCTCCTTCTCCTCTTCCTCCCACTGTTCTTCCTCAAGTGCCCTGTCCATGATTCCACACAGCATGTACTCCAGCAGGAAGACTAGAGGGATAGTGTCACTGATGCATGCATTGTCATGGTTCACCATCTTTGCGACCTCCTCAAATGGTGACAGGACAATGCATCCTTTATCAGCAGCCACTGGCGTGGCAAAAAGAAGCCAAGCTCCCCTGAGCCTGTTCTTGTGCCATACTCACACAGGTACTCATTGATGGCCCTCTGCTGCATGTGCAGCCGCTGCAGCATTGGGTTCCACCTGGTGGGTATGTCACAAATGAGGCATTTGGTAGGCAGGTTGAATTCCCATTGAATGTCAGCCAGCCGAACACTGGCCATGTATGAACGCTGGAAATGGCCACAGACTTTTCTGGCCTGCCTCAGAAGATCTTGTAAGCCTGGGTACCTGCTCAAGAAACGCTGCATCACCAAATTCAGGATGTGTGCCAAGCACGGAACATGTGTCAAGTGTCCTTGTCGGAAGGCAGATAGAAGGTTGGTGCCATTGTCGCATACAACCATTACTGGCTCAAGCTGCGGTGGTGGCGTCAACCACCTCTGAGCCTGCCTCTGCAGAGCTGATAGAATTTCTGCTCCGGTGTGGCTCCTGTCCTCTAGACAGACCAGCTGAAGCGCTGCATGCCATCTTTTAGACTGCTTGTGTAGCCCCTTGAATGCTTATGGAGCACTGCTGGTTCAGAGGACAATTCAACAGAAGAGACCATAGAGGAAAAGGAGACGTGGTGGCGGAACAAGTTGCAGCACTGAACCCTGTCCTGCATCCTTCCCAGCTGCCAGCACAGTTGCCCAGTTCACCGTGAAGGAAATTTAATGTCTCTGACCATGCCTGCTGGACCACATGTCAGCAGTAATGTGAACCTTGCTTTTGACAAGACCAAAACATTGCCTTCCACATGATGGTACAGAGCTGGAATGGCCTTAATTGAAAAATAAATATTTTTTCAGAACCTGCCACTGTGGTACAGCACATTCCACAAATTCATGAAAGGGGCAGAGTCCTCCAGATGGAAAGGCAGCAGTTGTAATGCTAGCAATTTGGCCAAGTTAGCATTTAGATGCTGAGCATGTGGATCGGTGGGACAGTATTTTTTTTTTAAGGTTCAGCAACTGAGGTAGCGAAATTTTCTGTTGAACTCAACAGGTGGTGTACTGCTAGGAGATTGGGTGCAAGGACCTGTGGCACCGATTGCTATACCATCATCCCTCTCAGTGGAGGCTGTTGAGAAGACTTGAGGTATAGTAGGGGTAGAGATCCCAGATGAGGAGCAAGGAGAAGTCTGCATTTTCTTATGATGTGGGTCTTTCAGGTGCTGCTGCCAACGGGATGCATGGCAGGTCATCATATATCTTGTCAAGCATGTGGTGCTGGTCTTTTGGCCATGCTTGAACCATGTCAGATAGAGATTTCAAACAGCAATGCTGCGGTTTGCTGTACATATGTTGAAAAAAACCCACACCAATGAAATTTTGGAAGTCAGTGGGGAGTCAGCAGTGCCCTTCACCTGCGGAGCTCTGTCGTGTGATGCAATAGGGTGGCTGCCCTTACCCCATGCCCTGGAGGACATCCTGCCTCGTTGGAGTAGTGCCTCCTCCTTACTTTCCTCCTCCATTCTCTCAGGCACTCAAGTACAGTTAGTGACCCCATTATCCCCTCCCTCCTCATCACTGGAACCAACTTTGCAGAATACTGCAGCTAAGGGAACATGACTGCCAATTTCTTGTCCGTCATTGGGACCCGCTCTCTCTAGGCTCACATCATTCCGTTCCTCAACCTGGGAGCCAACATTGGAGCATTCAAATAACTGTGCATCCTCCAGCAGCATGGAACTGACACTATGATCGAATAGTTCAGGTGACTCCTCTATTTATGATGGTGGGGCTACGGAAGGAGTAGCTGTGGACAAGGAGCCTGTGGAATAGGCCCCTTTGGCAGCTGCGGTGGAACGCAAACTAGTATGAACCTGGGTGACAGAGGATGAGGATGGCTTAGTTATCCACACCACCACCTCTTCTGCATATTTTGACTTAATAGCACTGCCAGCACCAAGAAAAAAAAAGGGATGTGTGCCCTGCCTGCAGAGGATACACCATGTCCACAACCACCACCTTTCACTGTGGACACAGAGGCTGCTTGCCCTCTTTTAGGTGCCTGTGAGCATCTGACTCTCCTTGTTAACCTTTCGGACATGATGGGGATTTTTTTCAGAGATATTTATAACTTTTTATTTTAGAGTTTAGGATGGGAATTTGGTGCTTGGGTGCAATACTTTTGTGCTTGGTGCACTGTAAACCGTTTTATTATTGTGGTTTTTTTTAATAAAGAAAATAGGGGATACAGCAATCGTAGAGAATTTTTTTCACTGCTGTTGCAAAAAAAATATAAATAAAATAAATGTAAAAGAACTAAGAAAGCTAAAAAAAAAAACACTTCCTTTTGGTGACGCAGAAGGAAGAACACCTGCAACTCAGAAGGAGGAACAGCAAATTATGGAGAAAATGTTTTTTCGCCACTGCTGGAAAAAAAAACAAACTCAGAAAGCCCAAAAAAATGAGAACCACTGCTCATGCAGAAGTAGGAACATCTGCAAATCAGAAGGAGGAACAGCAATTATGCCCTAAATATTTTTTAGTGCTGCTGCGGCAAAATGAAAAATTAAAATAAAAATAAAAAAGCAAAAAAAAGGAGGAACACCTGCAACACAGAAGGGGGAACACTGTTGATGCAGCAACAGAACCTGATGCTGCAAAGAGAAAAAAAATGGGAACAGCAGTGACACAGAAGTGCTGTAAGTTTTTTCCAGAACTTCTGCATAACTGCTGTTCCCATTTTTTTGGGGGAACAGCAATGACACCACTACATTGCTCTTTACAACACAGCACTCCACTGACTACACTACACTGTCTCCTAACACACCACTAACTACATTTACTTAAAGTGTTACTAAACCCAGGACCCTGTATTCATTTTATCTGGTCTCCCACAGTACACACAATTGTTTTAGTAAATATAAACTGCTAAATAACTTTTCTCATCAGCAAATAAAGCAATCTTGTGACTTCTGTCAGTGTCCAGCAGAGCTTTGGTTACAGCTTGTAAGAGAGGTTTTCATTCTTCTGTAGGAGGATGCAGGACCCCTGACCTCTGTCTGGATGGTGCTGATTGGCCCTGTGCTGATCACATGGACTCTCCCAAGAAAAAAAGACTCTGTGCAGCTTGCCCCCGATCCTCTTTTCTATCAGGAGATATTTAGGTGGCACCGGAAGAAAGGGAGGATCAGGGAAGACAGGATCATCCTTTTTACACAGTGTGGAGGATTAATCCCTTAGGTCCCACAGTGAGTATAACAAGCATGCGTTACTGCATATACAGACCTTTACCGTTGTGGGTTTAATAACACTTTAACTCCACACCAACACACTACACAAGGCTGCTGTGTAAGCAGCCTTATATAATGTGGGGCGTGGACTTGATTGGCAAAAGTCACCAAGACTTTGGCCAATCATGGCTCTCAAAGAGCATTGAGCTGTGATTGGCCAAAGCATTGCACCAGAGGGTGCAGGCTCTGAGAAAGAGGCAAGTCCTCGAAACGTGTTAACCTGTTGGAGGTCCAGGGTTCCCATTGTGGAAATCACCTAGTGTGGACTGGACAGTGCTGTTCTTTTATGATGTGCCTTTGACATTATTGTCATCTGTGAGTATATTACCTATCATTTTTTATCAATAAATGTTTTTTTAAGGTAATGCACTAGGCCTGTGCGCCACAGCATCCCTCTTGCATTATTACCCTTTCTGCATCATTGTTCTTTATCCACTCTGCTTACACACATTGTTGCCACCACGGATTGACCATAGGATACAAGTATACATAGTATATTATATATGACATATTTTATTGGCTCTATGTATACGCACATACATGTTTATATGGATTTTTATATATGTTTTTAATTTTTTATGGATTGCGAGGATCTTTGTATACCTATTGATTGTTGTCTATTTCTGTGAAGGGCGGCACATATGAGCTTAGTCCCCGCCTCTGGGGCGAGGAGGTGATGGACACACTTAGACTCGATATCAGAGGGTACAGGCGCTGTGTACACTGGCTCTGAGGAAGAGGCAAGTCCTCAAAACGCGTTAGCCTGTTGGAGGTCCAGTGTTCCTGTGGGGAAAGCCCTACCATGCGGACTGGATAGGGCTGTTGTTTATGATGAGCTTTTATACATTTCTCCTTTGAGAGTATATTACCTATTATTTTTTATCAATAAATGTTATTTAGGGCAATGCACTAGGCTGGTGCGCCCTCTGTTTGTTTTCTTTGTAAGGCTGATTGTACATAAGTTGAGCCATCGATCCATCTGTGTATGGTCAGCTTAACTTGCTGGCTGGTTTGTGTCTAAGCGATTAGGATCCCATGGACAGATAACTGCTGCTGAAGCCCAGAAAGAAGTACTGTGAAACATAAAACATAAAAAGCATGACTTAACATTTTCTATTTACCCTTTTCTTCTGATGTAGATCATACATGTATCAAGCAATTTTGGATATTTGATATTACAAAGGGTGGAGGGTGACTCATTCAAATCAGGAAGGAGTGAGTCATTACATTTCTGAAGAGATTTTAGAATAGATCTAAAAACAGGTATAAATCACAGATTATCTCAGTTTTTGCACTAAGTAGGGTGTACATATGTAGTTTGTTTAATGTTTCCACAGCAAGTCTATCACTTTTGAGACAAGATCACCGTATTATAAAAAGTGAAAAATACTAACAATATAGGGATTCTATCAGTACCGGACTATGGAAAACAAAGAGCTTTGTCACATTTTATGTACATCTCTGACAGCAAAAATTGCTAAAATGTCTGTATGCTTTAGTATGGCTGTGCCACATGTGAATTCAGAAATGTGCTGGCCATACACGTATAGATTTTCGGATGAGAATATTTGTACAAGAATTCTTTGTACATTCGATGAATGGACAAGATGTTGTTCGGAAATTTCACTTGCTTTTAACATTCAATTTTGATGATGAAATTAATGTAATTTCTGAATGAAAGCCACAGACATTGTCTGAAAATTTGTTAGATCGAGAAACGTTTTTCATTCTGCTCCTTCAAATTTCCCATCACTGCAGTAGAAAATTTTACCCCATTAATGATTAGAAAGTCAAGCGAAGGTTCTTAAAATGAAAATTTTCAAACAAATCTATGGCCAACATTAGATTGTAAGCTCCTGATTGCATGTTTATTATGTAAAGTGCTGTATAAATTATTGGAGCTATATAAATACCTGTAATTAAATAAACATGGACATTGACAGATGTAGAAGATATAAATCAGTTTATGTAGTAAATTGCTGAATTGGTAGTAGGAGAGCTGAAAGGTTACCACTAGGACCAATTCTGACCAGGTTCTATCTACATGGAGTTTATATGATTTCTTTGTGTAAATGTGCCCTGTACATGCAAAATACAGTTACTATATCTAAATGTCATAGAAACTGTGCTAGACAAATACAAATAACCAATGCATCGACATTCATTTTTTCTGGTCAATTCTGAACACATTACTGTATTTAGGCTGTATACTGCAGTCTCATATTGTCTGCAGTGAATTGTAAAAAATAGATTCCATATCACAGTATGCTTCTGAGTACATCATTCTACCAAAATACTCTCATGAAAATGAGAAATGATCAGCTCTTACCTTCACTCCTGGGAAAAATAATTGATTGTATGTAAGCAGGTGTTAGTACCCCTTTTGGGGAACTGTGGGTATTGTGGGTGGTTCAAGCCTCCTACTTAATAATCTGCAGCCAGGTGAACTTTAGGGCAGATGTTGATAGCAAAAGGTAGCCTGCAGCTATGAGAAGTTACAACCCAAGTGAAGAATGTCTTTTGGGGTAGGCCCAGCTTTGGCCCCATCGCAGAGCCCATCTAAGGGAACCTACAGTGACGGAAGTGGAAGTGCCAGTCCACAACCTTGTGTTAAAATTGGGTTCAGACTATGTAATGTTGCTGATGTCAGGTGCAAGGAGGAAGAGGTGTATTGAAGGAATGGTGTTCATGTTGATATGAAACAAAGAAACCACCGAAATGGCTAATTGTGTGAACAATCTTTATCTATTTTTGGGTGGACCTCAGGCTAGGAGCATGTGGCTGACTAAGATGGCAGAGTTCCTCCAATTCACAGGTGTGTGGTACTCTATCTCATCCCTATTACAAAGGGACAAAGCGGACGGCCCTTGGCCAGCATAACTGTTGCTGGCTAAGAGGGGCCCTTAGCCAGCATAACTGTTGCTGGCTAAGAGGGGCCCTGATAACATTTGGCAAAGTTGTCAGGACAAGGTGGGGTTTATTTACTAAAGCTGGAGAGTCCAAAATCAGACTCCCTTCTGCATAGAAACCAATCAGCTTCCAGGTTTCATTGCCAAAGCTTCATTGAACAAGCTGAGGTTAGAAGCTGATTGGTTTCTATGCAGAAGGGAGTCTGATTTTGGACTCTCCAGCTTTAGTAAATAAACCCCGGTATGTCACTGCAAAAGGGAGGATGTGTTGGCCCTGCCAGTTGAAGCTATGCTGGAAGGCAGAGGTAAAGACGGTGTGAATGATATATGATAGCCGGAATAGCCTGGATACCAGAGGGCAGGTGATGCCGCAAAAAAGGGTTGGTTTGCCCTATGTCGATACAGGGTGAGCGAAATCTTTTTACCTGTTTGCCCAAACTGTAACAGGCTGACCGCAGTGATATGCATGCTGTGGGAGGTCTTGCGCCATTTTATTTGAGGTCCTCCCTGATCCTGAGCATGCATGCGACCTGAAAGTGCCCTGGGAAAAGGATGCAATTTGGGAGGAGATTAAAATAGAGAATCATAGAATAGTATTAAAAAACAATAGAATAGCATAAAATAGAATATAACTTCTGAAATTATAATTTTGAATAGAATGAATTTGAATTCAAACAGAACACATTAGAATAGAATATAAAATAATAGAATAGATTAGAAAAGACTAAAATACTGTACAAAAAATTGTGAGCTGCACTATGGTGACATGAGTAGTGATCAACAAAAACACTGTGAAAGTTTTGCTGGAATAGAAATTTCCAATATGGTCACAGAACTCTTCACATAGCCCATATACCATCAAAAACTCATCGGGATTGTAATGTTAGAATTATTATCGAATCCGTTAGAATTGTTTTTTAATCCATTAGAATTATTTTCAAATCCGCTAGAATTGTTTTTTAATCCATTAGAATTATTTTCGAATCTGTTTGATATTTCAAATTCGGTCGAATTCAAACAAACAAAACGAATTCTGAAAAATGAATTAAACGAATTTAACTAATCAAATAAAACAAAACTAGTTAAATAATGAATCGAAACTAAACAAAATAAATTTTTTATTTTGGCACATTTCTAGTTTAAAGTCCCTTAAATCTCCTTTCTTCCCCATTCTGATGCTCTGTTTGAACTTCAGCAAGTCGTCTTCACCACATCTAGATGCCTAAATGCATTGCGCTGCTGCCATGTGATTAGTTGATTAGCAATTTGTGTTACCAAGCAATTGAACAGGCGTACTTAATAAAGTGGCTGGTGAGTGTATGTGGATCATTTTTTTATTGTTTTAAAGAATATTGCTGTTGACAGTTTTTCACCCTCTATACATGTTTTCTTGTTCTACAAGTTTGTAACCAGTTAGGAAATAGCTGGCTATTGCACCTGTCTGATGTGATCCTAATTTTTTTGTGATAATGTGTATATATCATATTGCAATATTTATGTGGAGCTATACCATTAGCCTTCCACACCTGTGGTACCCATGGCACAGGGGTGTGCCATTAATAAATTGGGGGGGGGGTAGTGTAAGCAGGGGTCAGTACCCCCTTTAGGGTAATGTAGGTGGGGCTAGTCTCTCCCTTTATAATCTGGGCCTGGAAGAACTTTAGGGCAGGTTAATGGGAAAGATAGCCTGCAGAGTACCGCTTTGTGAGGTTACAGCCCAAGTGAAGGATGCCCTTCAGGGTAGGTCTGGCATGGGCCCCATTAGAGATCCCAACTCAGGGAATCAACAATGAGTGAACTGGAAGCACTGGTCAGCATTCTTGTGTTGGGTGCAGGGAGGAAGCTGCATTATGATGTATTGGAAGCATTAGTGCACTCTGTTCATATTGACAGTAAACAAAGCAAACTTTGAAATGGCTGAATGTGTGTGACTAAGATGGGGAGTTCCTTCAATTCACAGTTGTGTGCTACCCTGTCTCATTTCTGTTACAAAACAGCAGTAGGGGCCCTCGGTCAGCGTGACCGTTGTGACAAATCAGGGCCCTGCTAACGTGTATTCCAGACACATTTTCCAAACCATCATTTAAATCCAGTCATTATTCCTCTAGAACAGA